ATTTTGATTTTAAAACTACATAACAAATGGTAGAAAAAAGGGTTAAAGATTATACGGATCACAGAACTGATGTTTTATTCCTAGAGTGATTATAATCTTGTCTTGTTTAAGTGTAACGATTATCTTGTCCATCGATGATTTTGTTCACAGTTTCGTTAGGATTTCCTTGCCGCCCACCAGCACTACCACCACTCCATAATAAAAGGTTTATTTAAGTGATGTAATTTGCATATATATTGAAATTATATTTGATTGAATTGATAAATGATCAGAGATGTGTATAGTGATGACAGTTAATCTGTGTGTGTGCATTTTAAACTTCATTGTCATTATCGCTTATATCCATTATTGTGGCCATTTACATGCATTAATCAATCGGAAATGACGTGAGAAGAAATTCTGTTTATCAAGGGAGTAAATATAAGCTTTTTCGTCTTGCAGTGGGGAAGTACAATTTTATTAGATGGTAATAGGCAATCCTCAGGAAGCCTTGGACCTAGGTTTCGAGCTAGTTGACACTCACCAGTCAGCAAGGTGTATCTGCAGTTTGGAAGAAACTGATATCCATTTTGCGATTCGAACCCACGTCACCCAGTGCTACAGTCGGATACGTTACCACTGATCTATTCGGGCTTTCGATTGACCTCCAGTAGGACTGTATGAGATACTTTTGATTGGACACTTGCTAGTAACTAGTGTAATGTGTCTAGTTCTTTGTTTGATGCAGACTGAATTCTGTCTGTCAAATTTGCAATGTGGCCATCATACCAATAGGCGGCTCGCTATCACTGTGCTTTTTGAATTGTTGATATGAAATGGTTGGCTGCAGACCTTGCTGACGAGTGCCAGCCGGCGCGAAACCTTAGGCCTGACAGGGCTTCCTGATGATTGCCTCCAACTATCTAATATCATCAATTCGAAGTGTACTGTGACGATGAGCCACCTAGAATGGTGGCCACATTGCTAACTTGACTGACAGAACTCAGTCTGCACTGAACGCATTATACTATAAACTAACTTGTGTCCAATGAAAAATGCACTCTTAATTGCATACTTCTGACATGACTACACAATATGACGGAGAGTTGATGCTAGCATTTCGCAGACGGTATTTTCGGAGTAACTACTTGATATTTGATCATTGTAACTGCCGACTTTTTCTTATTTCTGACGTTCCGGTTAACTGTATGCATCAGTCATCAGCCACTAACAAACAGACTGAGATATTTAACATTTTATTTGGTTTATGTGCTTGAGTCCAGTAAGTGCATCAGGTGGTATTGAGTGAAATTCTTGTTGTTTTGTATAAAATTGCCATTTAGGCACTGTGGTAGAGTATGAATTCCATATTAGATAATTTTATTTGATATAACACACTGTGGTTGATACAGTATTAATAACTGGTTGGTGTTGCGAGCACAACTTATCGACTTATCAGTTTAGTCACACGGCTTCAGAATTTGTCTTATACATATATATTGCAACTTGTATTCACTCCAAATGGTCCATTTCAAATAATGTTTGCTTCTCATTCTCAAATGGCTTCATAGACTGTATTACTATCAAATGTCGTCCCAAACATCTCCCCAAATATAAACATATCTTTGTTACAAACATGTACATTTCTCCCAGTTGCTCACTATCTGATCTTTCAAATTTTGTTGACGACATCACCATGTTTGCCGCTGCCAACTTCGACAACTCTCTATCTGTTATTACTGGTGATTTCTACTCCTTAGATTGCTCCTTTCTTGAAGCATTTGGTCATTCAAACATCGTAAATTTTTCACTCGACTTGACAAAACATTCGATTTAGTTTTTACTAATGATGAAAGAGTATATGAAACACGTAAACGTGCACCGATCCTTAACTCTAATCACTGTATTGTTCGTGTTTCACCAAAAATATACAGCAAAACACATATTAAAGTCTTCTCACATCTGTCTATGAAAGCACAACAAGGATGCCACCCATCTGACAACTTACTCAATCTAAGGTACATGTTAAAAATACTAACTGATATTTATTCTATGAAAGTACATTGGATGACACAATCGCCAATATAACGGATTATCTTAAGTTCTGCTTTGATATATGCTGTCCCAAACAAACACTATTCAAACGCCTCGACCGCTTCTCGTCCCCTGGTCTCAAACAACTTCGCAGGCAAAAATAAACACTATATAAATCCAAAGATAAGTTAGGACTCAAAAAGATTAATGCTCAAATCAAATCTGAAATCTATCTATAACGATGCACTTTTATCATGCAAATCTCCTATCAGCATGTGGAAACTTTTTAATGAAATTATGGGCAATAGTAAGCGATGTAATATTTTTCCCTCTTATGATGTTAATGCTCTTAATCAGTCTTTTATAAACTCTTCTTCTACTATAACTACTTCTAATGTTACTAATCATGTGGCTGATAACTTTAATGCTCTCGATGTTCTAAAATGTCTTAAAACGCTTAAGCCCTCACGCAGCCTCGGCCCTGATGGTAAACCTGCATATGTTCTAAAACAATGTGCAGATGCTTTATGTTCTCCACTAACTAAAATCCTAAATGCTTCTTTCTCCAAAAATGTCGTACCTGTTGCATGGAAAGACATTAAAATAGTTCCTGTCCCTAAACCTGGAAACAGCAAGAACGTAAAGTTCAGACCCATTGCCATCACTTCCCCGTTTCTAAAGCTTATGGAAAAACTAGTACTTCTTAAACTTGAACCCTCTCTTAAAAGCTTTGAAGACCCGAAACAATTTGCCTATGGGCAGAGTAGGAGCACTTTAGACGCTCCAGCTGTCTTACACAACAGTATCGTCTCATCATTAGATAAAGGTACCAAATACGTCTACTGCACCTTTCTCGACTTCACTTCTGCTTTCGACTCTGTACTCAAATGTCTCTTGCCAAATATGCTCTCTATGACACAAACTGAGTCCTGGGTCACTAACTGGCTGCATTCCTACTTCTCTAACAGAAAGCAGTACACCGTATACAAAGGTAAATCCTCCTCTGCTGTGCTCATTGCAGCTGGTGTCCCCCAAGGTGCTGTACTCTCCCCACTTCTCTTCTCTTTCTTTCTACATGACTTACCATCTTCAGATGACATTAATTTTGTCAAATATACTGACGACCTGACTGTATCTTTTCCTGTCAAGTGTCAAAGTGACTGCTCCAAACTAAATGGTTTTTATCAGAAATCAGCCAGCGGTCCAAGGAAAACGGTCTTACCCTAAACCCCTCCAAATGCCAAACAGTCAATTTCACCTTTAGGCATAAATCCGACCTAAACAAACTGGTTGGCTCTCACGAGGTATGCAACATAGACGGCACTGAAATAGAAACCAAATCGGAAATCAAATACCTAGGCGTCATTCTAGCTGCTGACCTCTCCTGGTCGTCTCATATCTTGATGATTTCTAAGAAAATATTCCGTCTTACCTTCTACATCAAGAAGTTAAGACATTCTGGAATAACCCAACCCTTACTCCTACAATTCGTTAACTCTCGCATCCTGCCTATTATTCTCTATTGTTCCCCCTTAGTTTTTCCCGGGCTACTGAAGAAAGACTATAACATATTACGCAGGATGTTAAAGGTTGTCAGCAGGGTAAGCAACGTGCCACTTAACCAGCTTGTTAATACTCTGGTTGACAGGCACATGGACTCAAGTGAAAAATGGGCCAAATCCATTTTATGTAACTCACATCACTCTCTTCACTCACAACTCTCCCCTTGCATCTCATCAGGCGAAAACAGAAGCCTATATAGAAAACAATATGCTCGCACCAGCAAGTACAAAAACTCAACCATACCCTACTTAGCTCGTGTTCTGTGGGATAAAGAGAGCATTAGGAGTGACACCTATAATTCATTAAATAGTCAATAGAGCAACTGGACCTCGTCTTTCCAACTCATATCATTTATAGGTACAACATTTTCTTTCTTTCTTTTCCTTTTCTCTCTCTGTTTATTGATAATGTACTAATTGGATGCAATACTGTAGTAAAAATGCTGAGAATTCCATTCTGTATCACAAGTACTGTTTTGGAATAAAGCAAATTATTATTATTCTGCTCTCCATCTCTTCCCCTTGTTTTCTGTTACCACTCACCATATCTCCAGTATAAGCATTGCATCATTTCGATCGCAGATGTTTGGTGCTGATTCGATGAACAAAGATTCAGAGATTAACCTTCCTTTCTCACTACACCTAACTATACTACTTCTTAGTACTTCTCCCTGTCCCATCCTATTGTGCAATTATATGCAAGCGAATGTACTGCAGTGACCAAATTTTTTTTGATTGGTTATAGGATTTCATCATGAGCTGACATCAGTCAGAGAACCACTGGAAAACCAACGGGGAGTACTGGACAGCTGTATCGTCCAACTATTCTGGGACTCTTCAGAGATACATACCAACCTCCAGGATTCAAAACCAGAACCTTCTGGTTACAAGGCTAGCAAGCTCGTAGACCATTAAGTCACTGAGACTTGATCCAATGGCCAGCCCATGAATTCCAACTTCTGTCAATTCCCAACATAGCGCGATCAATTCGCAATGTCTCCTTCAGTGAGTGACTGCCTCACCTTCAACCCGCTGTACCCTACTGGTCACGGCTTCTCTAACTGATGTGAGCTCATGATGAAATCCTACAACCAATCAAACAAAATACCTACAGAAACCAATACTTGAAAATATGTTAGAGATCACTGATCATTTCTGAATGGTCAGTAAGTACACCTCATATCCTGAAGGTCAAGGATTCGATCTCTTCTATGGTAATGGATGAGCGCTAGTATGAAAGATTTATTCATAAAGAAATCGACATTGAGGTGTTGCATTAAGTTTTCTTTTACATTGATGAATACATGGATATTACACACATAAATTCACAGTTTCAATGCAGAAGATCATTGATGAACAAACTGATAAAAATGCAAATGCCTCCCTTAAAAGAAGCAAATGTCAAAGTAAAACTGGCATTTTCAATTGACAAAAAAAAGAAGCTGGAGGTCAAATTCTCATTCTGGACCTGTTCTTTTTAGTGTATAATTGCGTTTTTCAATTATTTTTAGAAACTTTAAACAGAAATTGCTAGTTGAAGTGTGAAAGAATGTTTTTCTGTGATTGATACATCAAGTGGATGTGATGTTGAAATCGGTAAATACCATGTTAATCACACTGTATATATGTGTGTAGAAGTTAGCATATAGTTGAATGAAGTAAGATCAAATGACATTTGAAGTTTAGAAAAGAAAAGAAAACGAACACCAACAAACAGATAGGGATTTGTATCTGAAAATGTTATTTTATCATAAATACATGTTGAAAAAAAAGAGATGTTGGGATTACATGACGAACTACAATCCCATTTCTGCATGAAAGACTACTTGTATATATTGAAATTGTATTCAGAAATAATCTAAAATAATGAGAAGAAACAATATGAAGTTAAAAACAAAACAAAACGTAACAGATTAATTCAGTTGATCTATTATTCCCAAGAGTTGATTTGTATGTATTGATTATTTGACCTGTTTCAAGTTTAAATGCGTACTGATATCAGTATGAGAACCATTGGCTAATTCATCTGCCGTTTAGTCTGGCCCTAGTGGTTACAAGCTGGAATTGTCTTGGGTTCAAACTCGGGTGGGTACGTAATACCCAGGAGTTTCAAACTAGGCCAAGACAGCTCTCCAGTACACCCTGTTGGTTTTCAATGGTTCTCTAGCTGATATCAATTAATCCATGGTCAAACTTGATTTATAATTATAGCAGTGATAAATAACTCAGTGCTTCCATTATAAGAATCAGAGAAATGGAACAAACGAACTTCTTCCTGGTGACTTACTACATGACAGAGTTCCCCGGAGTTCTAGGGAATAAGTTGTGATGACTAGTGAGGTGCATTTGGTCAGGAATGAGGATGGAGTTCCCACCAATGACATCGGTTGGTGGACACGCTTAAAATCATGAATCGGTCGGAGTAAATATTCATGGACCGGCAGTTGAGTCCGCTCCCAGTGACTTAATGGTCTGCGAACTTGCCTTGTAACCGGAAAGTCCTGGGTTCGTACTCGGGAGGTTGCTTACTGCCAATGAGTCCCAAAATAGGGCAGACGAAACAGCTGTGCAGTACTTCCTATTTGTTTTCAGTCGTCCTGTAACTGGTATCAATCTGTGGTCTAACTTGGAAAACAAAAGTTCAGCTTCTTCAGAGAAATTCTGATGGCTTTAGCAGTATGTAACAGATGAACTCTTAAGGGAAAGTTGCGATCAATCGGAATAAGATAGATAACTTCGAAATCCTTGTAAACATCAATTTTATGTTTTATTTTCACAATATAAGATTTGAGAGACCTACGAATGGACCTCGTTTTTCCTTGGGTAAATCACTTTGCAGGATGGTGTTTGAAGTTCCGACGATAAACGTGACTAATTTGACGCCCTATGTGACCGGCCCAACAGGAGCAGCAAAACTGCTAGATGCATATAGAAAAGATAAAATTAGGCAGTTTACCTTTGACTCCTAAACGTGAAATTAATTAGGGGTGGTTGTGTAGCTATGGTTTACTTCAGCAGTATTGAATGCTCTTTTTATTGCATTCTTTAGATGTTTTATTTTCACTGGTATTGCCACAGAGGAAGTGAAGTTGTAAGAGCAAGGTCTTTTAGGGAGCTTTTGGTACTTCAGCTTGTTTTGACTTTAAATTCATATTCTTGTCGATCAACTTCTCTGAGTAACCATTTTCGCTCAATAAGCGGCTTAGAGGGAAGAGGAAGTTGTCAGAGTTATACAGTCAGGTAATATTGGTCAAGGTACACATTGTGGCTGTATAGATTTCCTTCTTTAGATGGTATCCGAAATCTTCAGTTATATGCAGAAGAGGAACTCGCAAGACAAAATTTAAACTAGTTAGAATATGTTTGATGCCTTGTTATCCCCCAAAATTTATGTTCACTGTATATAAGGTAGGCTTAAACTAAGTCACACTATGAAATAGTAACACAACGCCTAAAGAATGCAGTGAAAAGAGGATTCAATATACTATCGCTTCACAACCACCCCTATTTATTTTACGTTTAGGAGTCAGAGGTAAACTACCTAATTTTACGTCTTCTTTATGTTTTTATCAGTTTTGGGCCAGATACGTAGAGCGTAGAATTAGTCACGTTTATCGTCGGAATTTAAAACACTATCCTGCATCATCTTGTGGCTACAGGAAGCAAAATTGATGTTAACAAGGCTTTCGAAGTTATCTATCGTCTTCCTATTGATCTCAACTTTCTCCTATATACAGATAAAGCCATCAGAATCCGCCTAAAGTAACCTGACCTTTGTGTTAAGAAGACGTTTGTTCAGATGCTTTCCCTACCCTGACCATCAGCATTTTAACTATCCTTAATTTATTGAGTTAATTTGCCTAATTTTGTTTGATATTCTATTTAGAATAACATTTTAATGCTTACTATAACTTATGTATCTTTTCTGAACTATAATTCCATGGATCTTAACAAATCGATATTCCCTTAAGAAGACATCAGTTTTGTTAATGATAATTAACAAGAATATTATCTGCATATACACCTTCTTCCGCCGTTCCTAAGCCTTCTATAAGTTCTTGGCTTTAAAAGGTTTGATTATTTCAGTGTAATGATTGACTGATAACATTTCAATCTTGTTTTCATTTAAATTGTTATATTTATGATTACTAAAGTGTAGAATACGTGATATTGCGGTAGAGACTCGTTTTGAGGACATTTCGTTTGTTAAACCTGTTTCTTAATGAATTTGTCTATTAGTCTTCTTTCTATTAGAATAAATTCAAAGTTTCGATTTTGGGTATTTCGGTAGTCGTTAGATTTCTGTCACGAACTAATATTAATTAGCGAATTGTTGAAAACCTAGGAGCATTGGATGGCTACTTCGTATTAGTTGGGGACTAACTTTTCAGCACTGTGCTCCCGCAGTATCATTAACGATTGAATGCAGAACCTTCAGTTTATAAGTCTCGATGCACTGACTGTTCAGCCACAATAGGATGGAAATCAGACACCTGTGAATTTTAACTTTGGCAATTCGTGATCCAATTTTTAACAGTCCTCTTTAGCTGGCTCGACAGTTGATCATCAGCTCTTGTTTCCTACATATACCCTCTCCTCCGTGTCACCCTTAGACCCATGTCCAGCTCGTTGTTTCCCAATTCAAGTTTCACTCTAAGGCCAGTCGTGTGATGTCACACAACATTTTCCGTCACCATTTTCTTCGGTAGATTTGTTGGGTTGTGGGTTCTTGGTTGATTAGTTTTCAGAGCTCTTTGTAGCTAATCGCTTATGCGATCTTCAGTGTGGATCTAAGGCAGCTGATGATAATAATCTGAAACCTGATCAAAATGCTTTCGGTGATAGGCCGTTTCTCTGAACCACACAGAAGCACATTCTGACTCGAAATTAGTGTTGAAAATACAAATCTTCTTTGTGCTAATTATGGTAGATTTCCATGCTTATTACAGAGTAACGAAGGTCTGTCTTACCTTTCCGATCCTATGTGGTCTTGGCATCCTTATTCGTGATGCCTGTAGGTGAAAGAGCGCTACTTAAATAAGTGAATGTTTACTTGTTCACTAGTTTACTTTCCGGTCCTAAGGTCGTAAAATGAGGGAAAGTTGAGTGTAGGGCTAGCGACTCTAGCACAGAAAATCAACTTAGTCGTCACAGAAACTTAATATTTTAAAATTTTATTTTATTCCATTACGTTCTGAGTAGAACATAGGGCTTTCAGAGAGAGCTTTGACGTTTCAGTAGTAATGGTTTCATTTTTAAGGCGTGGGGTTGCTAGCATCATACCGAACCTTCTCTCTTTACTGGCGTTACTACCATCTCAGAGAGGTCTAAGGATGCGTCGGCCAAGGATAAAACCCGGAGCACCGAACCACTAACGTTCCAAAAACTTCAATGCATCGCAGAAAAATTGACAAACAAACCTATTTCTCGCTGAAATCAAAGCGAAGGAAAAATGTAGGCTAGCGGAAGATTTCGGGAAGCCATTCAGCCAGTTTATTTGCCTTCTATGGGAAAATAAAAGTGGTGATATTCCTTATGAGGTAGAAGCAAAATATCTTTTTCTGTGTACAAAGTTGCGATTTTTCAGTTTCACTGGTTATAGCTTCAGCATTAAAGATGATGAGAGTGAAGAAGTTCGGACTAGTTCACGTAACGAAACGTTGGAATTATTTATTTTTACTTCCGCTGCGATTTACACAAATATAATTTTTACAAATGTTTACTCACATGAGTTTCGAATGGATATTATAATAATGGTGTAGTTGTGTTCTCTGGACTACAGATGCTTTAGTTGCCTACCTAGACAACATCTTCAGTGCAGACTTCAGTATGAACAAACCTATCTGAATTCTTCACAAGTTTATGGGTCATCTGTCTTGGTAACCTTGTAAGTGAATGGTGGTTTCTGGAGCTTTCTCACCCTCAATTCCACTTCTATAGATACTCATTATTATTTTATTGAACCAAAAGTTGACATTTCGTCTGTGCGACTGATCAATCTCTGTCAGTGAATCTGCTGATTCCAGATTCGTCTGAGTACCAGGTTTTCATAAATTCCTTGACATTTTTGATGTCTCTCATGTTTGAGATTTGTGCATTATCACAGTCAAATTGATGTCCGCAATTATCACTATGCATTGACATAAGGGAAAAGATACAATATCTTTCGACATCCAGTCTATATTAACGGATGAGAAGGTGAAGACAACGTCCATTTTGATCAATATTCTGTTTCCCACACTTGTTGCAGTTTATCATGCAGTTGATGTTGGTCTTGTTTTCTTGTGCTATTGCGTCTTTTTGTTGAAGTGAATGTGTTGGTTTGCAAGCGACATCTCTCCTAAAGGTTCCAGCAGACTTGTCATGGTTTCATAGAATTTCTTCATATATGTGTAAGAAGGTTTTTTCTCCTGCTTTCACTGGATAGTTTTGAAATTGGTCGGCTTGGTTGGAGGTAGACATGATTTGACGGAATTTCATGGACATTCATTTTCTCTGGAAGACATTGTTTTCTAAGCTGTTGCCTTACTTCTAACGAGACCTCGGGAGCATAATTACACTATAAAGTGTAATTCATAACAAAGTATTCTCTGATTGACAACATTAGTAGCTTTCTGAAGTTACCGGAATAACTGAATACATCGAAGGACTGTTTAGATGAGGTGGATTGCAAATAAACGAAAAGACAGTATGATATTCACAACTGGTAACTAACAGTCTGTTACACCTATTTGAATGTTGTCTCACTTCCTTTAGGATGTAATACCTCTGTTATATAATAAATATTTCAAGAAACTTATTATTTCCTTAGTTATTTTGTAAAAAAAGTTACCTTTTCATTCATATCTGTAATCATGAAGTCCTCCAAGTGTAGGATCATAATCAATTGATGAGCCTAGGCGAATTGTTGGAATACCAGACATCGATGGCATCTTTTGATCACTTTCAAAAGAGTTCACTTCTCTGTGTTCATTCCCATTTTTCATACCTACAAGTGACTTGTATTTATTTAACAAAATATAAATAATACTAATTAAAAAATGCCACAGTAACAAAAAATAACATAAAATACATAAATATTATTTAAAATATACCACAAACTAAGAAGAGATTTCAATTAATTCATGGTAGTTAGTATGGAAGCCAAGATTTGCATCGCCCCCTTTTGGAGACTCTTCAGCCTCGTATACCTGTATCGTATAGACTGATGATATTCACACTGAGAATTAAACCCAACACTCAGTGTTTCAAACGCTTAGTTAGACAACCAGCGAGTACTAGATACCTATTACCTTCTAGTCTTGGAACTCTTCAGTAGTATGCACACATGATTCCGTCGAGGACTGAACCCAAAACCATCAGTTTCCAAGGTCAGCCCACTTAGGGAGAATTCAGTGACCGGCGAATTCTAGCTTCCTGTTAGTTTACCGCCGCAGGTAGCGCCATTATCTATCAGGGTCTGTTTTCACACCCAACTTTGTTGATTCAACCGGTTAAACTTCTCACTAATACTTCAGGAAATCTTCTCAGTAGTAAGTTACTAGTGAGCAAAAGATCAATTATGAGATTCAACTCAAGTTGGATTTCATTATGAACCAGACCTGTATTCGACCACTGACAGAATCATGCTGAAGCCTCTCAAACTAGCACCAAACAGCCATCCAGTAAACCCCGGTTTCCGGTAGTTATTTAAGTTACATCAGTTGGTGGTAAAATATAAATCGATATCAATCGGATTCCAACAAACCGAATATTGACTTTAGTTTGGTCGTTCTGTTATCGGATAAATACAAACAAAATAAATTAGGTGTGGTGTCACGTTGTTCTCGTATACTCAGAAGGAGTCTAGTATAATAAATGAGCATCATCTCAGTATATCTATACATGAACACCTCACAGACTTCTATAATGGATTAACTGTTTCAAAAAATCCCTCCTAAAGGTTGGTCATAAGGCTGGCAACACCACTCGTAAAACAGCATCACCATTGAAAATTCAAACGTTGACGCCCTATGCTCCACTAGGAATGCGAGAAATGAAATACAGTCAGTCGATTTCAAGTGCCATGCTACAGTATTAAACTGGAAAAGGAATAAAACGTAATCACAAGGAAGGAAGACGTCTGAGTATAATCTAAGAAACATTAGTTGGTTTGACATTGTAGAAGTGCGAATAAATTAGTCAATTTCACTATAAAAAAGTGTAAATTTGAATCAGGTGGACTGTAAGGTGTGAAATTAAAGCGTATCTATATTCGAAAATTACAACTGGAAATCAATGTGGAGTGCTGGGCAGCTGTTTCATTCTAGTTTGAGAATCTTCAGCAGTACACGCTCACGACCCCACCTCCAGGGATCAAACAAAGGACGTATAGGTTACGGGATGGGCTTCTTGACCACTGGGCCACCGAGGAAGAACTCTAACTTTTACCAATTCAAGATCCCTAGTCCCACCACTTTTTTATTCTTTTACGTTCCCAGTAGAATTCAGGGCTTCAAGCTACAGCCTTAAAGTTTCGGTAGCAGTGATGTTCATTTTTACGGGATGGGGTTGCTAGCCTCATGTCCAACCTTTTCCTTTTTACCAGTCCGATTACTGGCTTAGCGAGGTAAGGGAGTGCGTTGGTGGTCGGGGATCGAACCACGAACCACATGAAGCTTGATTGGCGAGCATTCTACCGCTCTGCCACCAATACACAACTGCACTATATTAACCTTTAAAATGATAAGCAATGAGTTATATAAGAGAAGTAAATGTCATATTCCCATTTGCATTTTATTTATTAAATTTAAAAAAGCCTGAATGTCTAATTTTGTTGACTCTCAGCACTTATTTCGTGCACAAACACAATTAATGCCCCTACTACTGTATATTTTTGACGTTTCACTGGCTTAATTCTCGACTTGAATAATCTTATACGACTACATAGATACATAGTTATATTTTCAAGTGTATGACTGAATACGTCTCATCGTCCTAACTGTAATGGAAAAACTGTCTGGAAAGTCCCTCCTCAACGATCTAATTACAGTACTGACACTTATTTGGATGTCTCAACTAACTTT